TAGACTAGGCTGGCTTTGAACTCACAGAGATCCACCTGCCTCTGCCTCCTGAGTGCTGGGACTAAAGGCGTGCGCCACCACACCTGGCTTTTTTTTTTTTTGTCTTTTTGATGCAGGGTCTCTCTGTAGCCCCTGCTGACCTGGAACTCATTATGTAGACTAAGCTGGCCTCGAACTCACAAAGATCTGCCTGCCTCTGCCTCCCAAGTGCTGGGATTAAAGGCGTGCACCACCAGTTTTGGAGCCTGCTTTATATTGATGATGTGAGGAATGGTGGGAGGTTGGTGAAAGTGTGGCCTCTGTAGGTTGGGTACTCCGGACGTCCAGGGCTACTACCTGGTGTATCCAGGAATCACTACAGCTGTTTACAGATCTCTTTCTCTTGAGAGCAAGTCCCTGAAGACAAGAAAATGGTGTCTTATTTTTTTCAGTGTCCCCTGAGCTATCTTGGGGCAGGCATCCAGGAGGGGGCAGAGAGCGGTAGCCTAACTGATGAATGTTGAAGGGGAGATTGGAAGGAGCTGCTTGACCCTCCTTCTGGGTGTTACCCAACATGCAGGATGGAGACCAGAGCCTCCCTACCTTCGGGACCCCTAGATTGTCCAGAATTTTGATTCTGGGATGGGCCTGACAGCCCTGTGCTGGGTAGTGGAAGACAGGGCCACCCATCTTCCCGTGAATGCCAGTGAGATGATCCCAAGGCCTGAACCCTAAAGGAAGGCAGGACTCTGTCTCCCTTTAGCCTTGGATCCCTCTTTCCATTTTCTGTTTACCTTCCTTTCCTCTTCTGCCTCTTTGCACAGCCGTCCTTTCTCTTCTACCTCCCCTCCCCTTCTGCACCTTTGTCCCTCTTGTCTTCTCCCCCCGCTCTTTCCTCTCAGCCTTTTGGTCCACATTTCTGCCTACTGTGTTTGCAGGAGAGCCAGCCTGGTGTCATGGTTTCAGGCTCCTCCCTTTGCACTGAATCCCTTGAGGTGCTTCTTTTACTTTTTAATATTTTATTTAGTTATTTATTTTTTGTTTTATGGTTATGAGAGTATTGCTTCCATCTAAGTGTGCTAGTGTCATGCAATGCCTACCGAGCTTAGAAGAGGGCATTGGATCACTTGGAACTGGAGTTACAGACGGTTAACTGTCATGTGGGTGCTGGGAATTGAACCAGGGCCCTCTGCAAGAGCAGCTAGTGCTGTTAACCACTGAGTCATCTCTCCAGCCCCTCAGGTGCTGAGTTTTGGGGGAACCCCAGGTGGAAGGGTGATCTGGGTCCCATGGAGTTTCACAAGCAGGCCTAGAGCCCTACCAGGAGCTGCTCTGATGCTCCTGTAGGACACAGAATCACGTGGACCTGCATGTGACTGTGTGTAGGAGAGGTGTTGGTGTGGGGTGTGGGTGGACCCAGGGAAGAACCCTCTAACCCTCCTGAGCTGAGGTCCCTATGGTAGGGTATGTAGGGGGTGTCGGGCTTTCTTGTTACTTTGTTGCTTTAATTAGGGCTTATTAATTGGTGATGAGAAGACTGGAGGCCCAGAGGGGAGAGGCAGATAGCACCCCAGCCTGTTGCCTAGTGAAGCCAGCCATGTCCCCAGTGGTCAGCTAGGTCTCTCTGCTTCTAAGGCTGGTATGGAGATTGAGAGATGACTGGGCCGGGGTGGTATGTTGTGCCCTACCTTGCCCTCAGGGAAGCCAAGGCTGAGTGCTCCCCACCCCCATTGCTGTCTGCCTTGCTTCCTCAAGTGTCTATTGTTATCTGTACCAGTGCATGGGGTTATAAGAGCTGTGATCAACTGAATGTGATGGGCATCTGCAGCTCTGGAGACAGGAGGGATCTGAGTTTGGGTCCTATATAGGTCACAGGGGTGCCTCTGTGGTATTCTAGGAATGTGAGAGATGTTGGTAGCTTCTGGGCATAGAGGCTGGTAGGTTGGGGTACGGACCTATGCTCAGGTGGTGGTGAGGGAGGGCAGACCCCTCAGTTATGAGTCTTGTTCTGTACAGGACCAAGGGTTCCTTTTCTGGTCCTACCACTGACCAGAGGGATGGGAGCCTCTAGGCTTCCCTGTCCACTTCCTTTTCAAGGACACTTCATGCTGCACAGTAGGATAAGTATGGCTTAGAGGTGCCCCTGATAGGAACTCCTGAGCCCTACCTGGAGGAGGTAGGAAGGAGCCACTATCTTGACTTAGCCAGAGGCCACTTGAAATCTCTGTCCTGCCACCTTTCTCCGATGCTCTGCCCTATGTCCTCTGTGTCTGTCTGCCTTCTATCCACCTGTTGCTCTATTCACTTCTCAGACTACTGGAGCTTTTTTATGCTGATATTCTTCCACTCATTCAAACACTGATCACTCATGTACGTATTCAGTGTTTGCCAGGTGGTATGGACATGGGGGATGAAGCTGCAGAGCTCCTGCCTGTGGGCTGTGTCCAAAGGGGCAGGCATCCCTGACAGCTTGTTTCTCTTTAGCACATGCAGTGTCATACCAGGATGGTGCTTAAATGTGCTACGTCCATTGGCTCTGGGTTTCTGCCCCCTAGACCGCAGCCTGCCTCATGGCTAGGTCATGGTGTTACTTGGCATAGACTCATTCAACATGCCAAGGAAGGAATGAATGATCTTGAGCTTGGTGGGCACATGGGTAAGGAGAGTACAGGGAAGGCTTTGTGAAAGCAGTCAGGGAAGGCCTTAGACTTGGGAGGGCTTAGAGTAGGGCTTGAGGGTCTGAGGATACAAGGTACCTGTTTTTGGGAAAAGCTGTGGCTGAGATCCTGGCCAAGAGTGCAACAGAGACTAGACAGGATCCCCAAGATCTAGAAACATGGAAAAGTTGTGTAGGACTGTGCCCTGATACACATAGCTATGGACTGCCTTGGCAAGGAGGTGATGGGGACTCAGAGGAGCGCCTACATGCAGTGGGAGATTTAGGAAGAGTAGACTCTGCCCTATGCATAGAATTGACGTTGGAGGGAAATGTGCGAAGTGACCTGAAGTGAACTGGTCTTGTATGGGGGTGAGAAGGCTGGGGATGGGGTTGTGTGTGATGAGACATGTAATGCTTATCATTTAGGGAGCTTTGCAGCAAAGCAGGAGAATTGGATAGTTTGGGCAAGGATAGAGACTCAGTGGGCTGCATTAGGCCAAGAGTTTGCAGTCTGATTGAGTGTTTGTGGGAAAGTCCAGGAGAAACTGATGCAGATGGAGAAAGCCAGCCCTAGAACCTGAGGGAAGATGGGCCCAGGGGGCTAAATATGGGTGTACTTAGGTGGGCAGAGGTAGAGGAACTGGCTGAAGTTCTTACAGACTGTGTTTCCACTGAATTTGAAGCAAGTTCATCAGCTGAGTTGTATGAAGATGAGTGATATAAGATATGAGACAGAAATGTGGGAAACAAATGTAGGACAGAGCAGGAGGGTGACTGGGAGAGGGAGAGCGAGTGAATGAACCAGGACACTAGACTTTTCTGACCCAGTACCCCAGCCTTTCTTCTTCTTAGCTGTCCCTCCATCACTATCTGGAAGGTATTTA